TTATGAATATATTTTTTTAAACAATTCGGATCAAAAATACTAAGCAATTCAGATACAATTTGGATATTCTGATCGGCATCGATCGGCCTGCCAATCGGAACTTTGCCTAAATTAATAAATCGGCCATCTTTATCACCAAATTCGGCCTAAAATCGGACATCCGATTTCTAGCCGATTTGGACTATTTCGACCAGTGTATTAGACTGTGACGTTTCTTCTCATTTTTTACAGAAACCCTTTTTTTAAAGAGTCAGTGAGAATTTTTTAAAAGAAAAATTGGTTTTTTTAAGAGTTCTAAAGAAAAAATATTATTTCTGTTAAAAAATTTTAAAAAATATTAAATAAAACACTTTTCTTGGATTAAAAAAAAATATTCAGATAGCTATTATTGCTTGATTCAAATGATTCAAAATGTGATTCAGATCTGATTCGGATTTAATCCAATTCAGATCGGATCATTATTTTTTGGTCTGATCAGATTTACGGATTATAAATTAATGATTTGATCCAGATCCAATTCAGATCTGATTCACAGATTCAAATTGGATCAGATATTTTGCGGAATCCTAAAAATGCATGACAGATCTGCCAAACTTTTGCCGATTTGTTATATGACCGAAAGTTTTGATTTCAACCAGTGAATATACCTCCTTTTAATAGTACCCCCTCCTCCTATAGTATTTTCCAGGTACTATTCAATCTAAGTGAACTTTCTTGAATAGTACTTGGGATATTATATGCAGCACTATATGGTAGTAACTTTGCTGAAACTTGGAGTTTACAATCAATATTGATTAGATATTGCAATAATATTATGATATCATTACGATATTTTGATAAAAATAGATTCGACATTGTTAAGTTAATCATAACTGTATTTATTTGATATTGATATCTTGGAAAATAAAAAGATGTAATAGAAAATTATGGGAGATGAATAATGAGAAGTAATATGAGGTGAAAAATGATGAGACTTTACTTTGAATTTAATGTCAATTTCCAGTATGTGTTGCATTCTCAAGAGTAACTGTATATCAACATATTAAGATTTTTATAGATAATGGTGAGAATTGCAAGACAAGAAACATTGTATACTGTGAAATATTTCATTCTATAAATAGAATTCACATTTTAAAATTATATAACAATATTTCATATAATATTTTATATATAACATTCATATACAATTCACTTGTATTAGTATAAATATGTAAATTATATAAATTTATATGATTATTTTCTTCTAACCTTATCAAGCCTATTTCTAAAATATAGCCATATTATTGTTACTTTTCTTGACTTGATACCCGATTGATGACTGGTTGGTGACTGATTTGGCATGGGCAAATTTTATTCCTGGCACAGCATGACAGTTACTCCTAGTTCCTAGTTTAATAATAAAAAGAAGAAACTAAACCAATAAAATGTTAGAGCAACATGTACTGAACATTTCTATCAGATTATTTTATAGAATTTAATAAGAATTTTAATAAATATTATGGGTTAAAGTTGGATATGTAGTATTAATAAAAATACAAAAATTCCATGGAAATCCACAAGAATTCCATGTAATATGGCAAAAAGAAAATTTTGCCGCTGGTGACAGCCACCATAGTGCTTACAAAGATGATTTGAAGCCATCCACCCCCCTAAAATTTATATGCCAAATGTGGTAATTAAACTATTCTTTGAGATTTAACTGTTTAATATTTCTGTTTTTAATTTCTCTAGTTCTGTAAAAGGAATATTTCAATTAGTTTTGATAATGCGCCAGAGTGGACAGTATTAATGTGGAAAAGGAAATGGAAGGAGTTGTGGAACAAAGTATTAATATTTTCTGTTATATCCGCAATACCTTCCTAGGCAATTTCTCATAAAATTGTCTAACTATAGCACCAAATTTTTCTAAACACTTCCCTTCATCAGTTGTTTTCCACCTACTCGCATCCTCGACAAACGCAACAAATGATTTCAGCTCTCCCTCCAACTTGTCTATTAATTCTGAAAATGACATTTTCTCTCCAAACTTGATAATTCCAATGATTTGACACAATCCGTCGTAGTCCTGAATAATTTCTTGCCATGGATCGAAGTGAAGTAGCAACGAAGTTGCAAGGCCGAAATCAATAAGATAGAAATGACCATTTCTCTGTATAACGTTTCGTATGGCTACATCTCCATGCGCGTAACCACGGGCATGTATCTTCTCCAAGCACGATAATAGATCCAGAATTATTTGAAAAATTGTGTAATCATCTATATTACCGTTATCAGAAATCCATGATTCCAGGGGTAGTCCCGCAAAATCGGTAAGTAAAGCCAGGGAACCTCCCATTGTATGACCTTCAAAGAGAATTTTGGGAACACAAGAAAGATCACTTAGTGCACGCAACACTGATATTTCACGGCAAACTTGAAAGATTTCAGTGTTTTTGCAAACTTCAATCTTCAGATAAAAAAATGATCAATATGGCAAGTTTATTATACACAGTATGAGACATTCTCAGGATTAATTACCTTCAAAACGGCATCCTTTATTCCATAATCACGTACTTGTGCCAAAAAAACTATACACTCTCTTCCAGTTCCAAGGTGAGATGTAATCTGCACATGGATATAATTTCCAGATTTTAATCTAATAAGAATGTCCTCTCCGATGAAGGAAGCCAAGAGACTTTCAGAAGAAATTGATGACTTATTCCTATACGTATATGTATTATCTTTGTTTCCACCTAAAGTAATGATATGTTTATTAACAACCTAGTACAAAACTATTAACATCACTAAACACGAATTAATAAATTTTTTATATTATTATAAACTACAGTATAGGTATTTTTTATTTTTTTGTAAGTATAATAATTATATTGACATATATGACATACTCATCCTTTTCTTTATCAGGTCATCATAATAACGACCAATTAGGCCAGCGATAAGTGAGGCCGTGTGTTCACTCCATCTATAAGTGGTACTTTGCTCAAACTTCACTTTTGGGGCACCATTAATATCATTTAATAATTGTATTTTCGCAAATTTCCAAAGCTTCCCATCAGTTAAACATCCGTAGAAAACGCGTGTTAGAGGTCTATCCGCTGTAAGGTATGCCCTGGCATATTTTATTAATTGACCTTTCCCTACCATTACTTTTGAATTATCATTTAAATCATTCTTAACTTCCCAACCCAAGCCTTTTGATAAATCAGGTGTGCTATTTGTCAATTCTTTGCGGTAATTTTTATGGCCAATTATGATATCAGCGTAAACTTCATATTCTTGCCGGCTGCCATAATCTCCAAATACAAGTAACTCGCTTTCTAAGCTCAACCTTTTTACGACTTCATTCACAACATTAACGCAAAATGGCTGATTTACCTTGGTTTCACTTGATCCTTGTATAGGAGCATCAGGGTATTGAAGAAATACTTGGCGACCAAACAGTAGCTCTGCATCAATATCCATCTCGATTTGCCAAGGTCGTACGACTCCCATACCTCTCACATATTTGTACACGGAGGAAGACTTTCTTGTATTGTCCGTTTTAGAAACGAATAATTCATATCTTAAATCTTTAATTGTTTTTTCTAATAAAATGGAAATAGTTAAAAAGTAACGGCGAAAAAGCAGTACATTCACTCACGTTGACCAGATTTATTACGATCACTTACCATCGCCGGCGACATCAGGCGCTTCTACAATAACGTGTATAAGATCTTCGGGAGGCGCTTGATTTTCAGGCCAGTAAGTACCAATTTTTCGCATATCCTTCATTAGATAAACATCATCATTCTCATACTCGTAATCCTGAAGTTTCAAGTTTTGAATATCGAAAATATGGTCGTCATCAACAGGGTTCTTAAGCTTCAAAAGCTTAAGTCTGTCCGGGGCGAATTTATCAAACTCAGGTTCTCTAGCTTTCTTGATAACTTTCTTAAGCTCAGAAATACGGTTATCCCTTCCTATGGTAACCTCAAAAATAGTAGCAACTCCACGAACAAGTAACCAAAGGTTGATTTCCGTTCCAGAAATTGTAACTTCAGACATTTTGTACGTTATTGTGTTATTGTTTGTTTGTATGACAACGAATGAAAGAAATTTTTTTTTGTAAAAGGGGAAATTTGGGGTATATATGAAAAATCGACTGTTGCACAGATTGATCTGATCAGTTGCACAACCGGTTTCGTTATTACAACTATGATTGATAATGTTTAATAGATTCGTGCAATATAATATAGATTATCTTGTAAAACCAAATAAAATTAGTGTCATCATGTAGCCTGTATTTTATATATTTTTTCTCAACGATAAAGAAAAGGCAATATTAATTTACCAGACATTATATTTTTTTTCATATGGTGTCAGTATATAAAGCTTTGAGTATATGTGGGAAAGTTCGAGAAAAAACGTGCAATTATTTGTTCCCGTGATACATGTTGTCATTTCTAACGTTACTGCGTTTATCAATGATATTTGAAATTTGTTCGAGAAATTTTAGCATACACAATTCCCTCAATCCCTCATTAACAAAAAAGACCTCCTTTGTATATAGTTTTTTATTATGATTTTAAGCAGATCTGTTGATCAGATTTTCGTGATGCCATCATATTAATGTAATTTCCCCAAAAGTTTATAACAAAATCGATACTGCAAATTATATAAAAAGGTGATGTCCTGGTTAGTGAATCCTTTTATATGTCTTGTGCAAGAAAAGCAAAAATCAAACAAAAATTCAACTGTTCAGGTCTTACCATTATTTACAGTACATCGTCAATATCATTTATCAAATGAACTCGTATATTCCGCAAAGTAATAATAAGGTAAGTTGGTTTATTATTCGGCTAGATTCTTGAAACATGTCATCATGACATTAATCGATTTTCCCCGCCTCTATAGATGTTCCAAAATAAAACGGTCATATTACTCTTTTTCGCCAAGAAAATCTTTGACAATAGGCGCAGTGAAATTATTCACATGAATCTCGTCACATGCAAAGGCACAGCAAAAGTTTGCGTAGTACATCAAAAATATCACGTGTCGAATTCTTAATGTTTGGCACAGTATCTTACTGGTGATAAAAAAATTACTCGTCAAATTTCTTAAAAATCAAGGCGGATTGAATATTCTGAAAATGAGATGTAAAGGTAAGTAAATCATTAATATTACATTACTTTTTTTCATAAGTTACTAATCTCCCAATTTATGCTCACTGTAGATTCGAAATTATTCATTCTCAGGAAACTTCTCTTGCGGAAGTTAGCTAAAATCGAAAATTTCTATATAATCTGTGTGGATAGGAGTGATTTATATTGGCAAGGATCTTGTAAATACAGTTTATTTCGTATTTGTAGAAAATGGAATCTCATAATTAGATAGAAAAAAATTAGATAGATCTACATAAATATGAGAGCAAAGAAATAATTTGATGCTGGGACTCGCATTTAATGACCTAGGATCTGTGTCTCTTTGATAGCATCATATTGTTTTGCTTGCAATTTCCATCATTTTACATTTCTTTTGTATTTGAAAAAAATTAAATTTCATACAGAACGAACATTTGATCCAGCATCCATTGCAATTAAGGATGTGTCTGCAATACCCTAATTGCGGATTAATTGCGATTTGTGATATTGCGGAACAATAAAATGGTACATGATTCAACATTTAAAAAAAAAAAAGAAGATATATAAAATCATCGATAATTTATTAAATTTTATAGAAAATTTTACAGTATAAATTAGATTATAGTTTAAGGTAAATGTAATTCTAGAATAGTTCTTTGGCTCAATGAATAATTTCCTTTACTGTATAAATATTAAAATTGATTAATTTTTAAAAGTGAAATAAATTACCATGATCTATGCAACCATTTATCATCAACAAATCCTTATAATAATATCTTTCCATACTTTTTCCATTCTTTATTTTACATCTTCTTTTAAAGCAACCATTGACATCATCAGTCATAATAATTTATTTTATTACTAAAAGATCATCAGTCATAATAATGTTTTCAATTATTTGCTTTGTAACGATATCAAAGAAGGTCACGAGAAATGATGCAATGCCTGTGCGACATAAAAACCTATATTAACGTTTACTTTCCCACTAAATATTCTGGAACGCAACACTATTTTTTTATCTGAGCCAAAGATTGCAATGTCAACTATAATTCTCAATTGTTTGGTCATTGGTGAAAACCCCTATGAAAATGCATTCGCAGTTGATATTGAAATAAACAGGTCTATTAGCAAGTTTAAAAATGCTATCAAGGAGAATCAAAAGTCTTTTTTGATAACGTTGCGTCCAAAGAACTCAAGTTATAGAAGATCGACAATTTCCCTCAAAGAAGAAAATAAAAAATTAATCACTGTCAATACAAAAATAAATGTTAATATCAAGGATGAGCTTAGTGGTGTCGAATTGTTTTTACTTTCAAAGATCAGCAAACACTTTTCTTCTCGAAAGAAGTTCACTGTACTACAACATATGGGCGTATGACAGTAACCCAAGAAATGGTGACATTGGAAGGCTTTAAGAAGAAACTTTATGAATATTTAGTATTTCCAGATGGGACAAAAACAAGCATATTGTAATAGGTTATGTAATGAGTGGTGTTAGCTTGAAGAGAAAAATTTTAACAGGTAAAATGCGTAAAATTTAGACCAGACAAGCCAGAGTGCAACGGTAGAAAGTGATACAGTGGAAATTGCGATAGAGTGTAAAGTTATTCAATTTTCTGCTGACGAGAATTTATTGAGAATTATCTGGATTGCTAATCTCAAGGTGAATTTGAAAATAGTTGTGGATATGTGCAAGCACTATTAATATATTAGGATATTCACATGTCAATTCTGATCAGTTAATTTATGTACAGCATCTTTGACTATTTTTATAGTATAACAACCTTTCTCTTTATTTACTTTTCCAAAGATAAAGGCATTTTTTGACTTGAAGGCAGATTGATTATAACAGATTATCACTTTTTAATGGAAGTGTCAAAAATACTTCAAGAGAGATCCGAAATTTGGTTGTGAAAGAATTATTGAAATTATATAAGATATTCCAATACATTACTAGTGCCAATGAAGCCGCTCATTGCAAGTTTATTTCTGCATTATTTACGGATCTTTGGTAGTGAGGTGAAAGTCTATCCCCAATATGAAATTTTTGGAAGTCATGGCAAAAGACCAATTGATTTGGTCATAAAAGTGAAAAATACAATCATCACAGTTACTGAGGCAAAAAAAGAGAACATCAATCAAGGTATTGTACAGAATGCAGTCCAACTACAAATATTTATACAGCGCAATCCTAAAAAACATAACTATGATACGGCAAGTTTATATGAAGATGTAATATATAGAATTGTATCAACCACTGTAAATTAGGTCATAATCAAACTAGTTTCATCTAACTCTGAGAATAATAGTGAAGAGAAGGTAGAAGTGTTGTTAAGTTCTTTGTCGCACTTATTATCATTACCAATTAATAATTCTGTTTTAACCTATGAGAACTTGGCAAAGCCTGTTGAAAACTTGTTTGGTCAAATTAAGTGGGTGTTTGATTACCAGTTAGAATCGCAAGAATTATTAAAACGGGTAAAAATAGAAGATAAGTGAGATAGTCTTGTCTTGTTCGAAAAATAATCGTATATATAGACAGTAGACACTAGTATAAAAAAAAAAGTTATGTATCCCGAGTAAAGTCCTTATCATTGTATTTATTTTAATTCTGCATTAATAAGGCGATTCTTTACATTTACTACAAAACATTAAATAATTCACATTTTATTATTAATGTCAAATGCTTAATCCTTTGATTCATTTAGAGAATTAAATACCAAGCTCTTAGCTGAGATTGCTGAGCTTAGAAAGAGATCAAGGGCAAGAATGTTGAGATTTCTAGGAGGTTGCTGAGAATGAGAAAACTGAGACAGGAGCTTAACATTCAGGCCAAAAATGATTAGCTGGAGAAAACTATATTGCATTATTCATCAGTTGAGATTGGCAAACTTAATGCCATAATCATAAAACTAGAGAAAAATTGGGCAGTTCCACTAAACTTAAATCCTAAGAATGCTGAGTTTGCATTATGCAAAATCGATTTTGAACTCATATTTATGTAAGTAAATTTTGAACATATTTAAAATTAAAGATTTTTGGTTTTTTTAATAATTTTATTGTCATTTTTATTATTTATTAGTTTCATTTTACACTTTTCACATAATTTATGGTCATGATACCAATTATAATGACAATAATTTATAGAAAGCTTTGATTAATTAAATTATGATGCCATTTAATAGTTGTTAAAAGAATATTACATTGATTGTATTTAAAAAAAGTAATTCAATTTATATAGTACTAATAAGAATGATAATACAATAATGCAGTACAATTATGATATAATGCATTTGTATTAATACATAATACAATTAATACATGTATACTGTAATAATTTTTATTTTTTATTTTTATTAACCAATATACGTCACTAGTCGAAATAAGGCAAATCGGCTAAAAATCGGATATCCGATTTTAGGTCAAATTACGGCTGAAATATGTCCGATTTTTACAAAAAAATATATTCCGATTGTTATCCGATTGACTGCCAATCAGATGTACTTCGGAACTTAAATCGGACATAAATCAGAACTAAATCATACTAAATTTGGACAGTCAATCAGATGTACTTCGAAACTTAAATCGGACATAAATCAGACTAAATCATACTAAATTCGGAAAATTATTATATATAGAAAATTCGATTTAAATTTATTATCGTTATATATTAATTATCAGAAATATTTACGAATAATACATGAAAAAAAAAAATTTAAAATAAATGTAAT